TGTTGTATCAATAACAGATTGTTTTACAACCTGTGTCTATTGTGCTCGTATCCGGTGAACCAGTAAATGTTACAGAACCTGTTAAAGACACCTGTCAGGAGACACTTTCCGGTCTTTTGAAAAAAAAGCATGTCCCTAACGTGCTGTATTAGCTTTTATGATGCATTTAATATATGTCAAGTCATCGTTTCGCGTACAACTGAGTCAGTCATGGATAAGCTGCAGCTATATAGTCCTGACAGAGTCATCGTCTAAATAAGAACCACAGTGGAAATAAGTCACTTTGTCTGACTCTTTTGGTTTTCTTGGGTAATTTTTACTATGTATGATAATTGTACTTATGTGTACCTGTGTTTAAATAAACTTACACTATTTTCAAATGTCTTTGTTTCTGTGGCTGCCTCGCCACAGGACAGGCACCACTGAACGGGTCGTTGTGTGACGAAGACCTGTAACGCAAATAGCCTAATAATATTATTAATAGCCGAAAAAAAGTATGAATAAGATTCTGAGGTGGCGGCATAATTCCTATGACCTGCCTCAAGCCAGGCTCTTTTGGCCCTTGATGCTGGCACCAGATATACTTCCTCCATCTGTCTTAATCTTGCTGCGCGACTCATTCTTGGTGATACTTAAATGTGTCCATTACCTTGACTGATTGTTGGTATTGTTATATATTTCATACTGGCTCAGTAACAAAGTCGAACATATGACTAGTACTCCCTTAGCGATACAACTTCATGAAGGTTGACACACTCTCTTAGCTTGGTTTATATAGCACAGGGTAAGACGCCACACCTTCCTTGGCTCACCCTTTGGTTTAACAACTAACCCTTTGCTCTTGTTTCTCTCCCGTTGTGTCCCATCTTTGATATTTAATGTACCAAATGCTGTTCCTTTGTTGATAATATTCCCTTGAAACCCATTACATTTACTGTACCACTATGTGAAACTTGTAAGTCTCTCTCCATGGGCTCTCATTCACATTGTTGAGGATGGTAGGGATTTTAATTCATTCGTTGCACTTTAGTGTAGAGATAGATGAGACAGATAGAGATACATGATTATATACACATGGAAAATCCTAGAGGGACTAGTTTACCTGGAGAGTTTTCCGGGGGTCAACGCCCCCGCGGTCCGGTCTGTGACCAGGCCTCCTGGTGGATCAGAGCCTGATCAACCAGGCTGTTACTGCTGGCTGCACGCAAACCAACGTACGAGCCACAGCCCGGCTGGTCAGGAACCGACTTTAGGTGCTTGTCCAGTGCCAGCTTGAAGACTGCCAGGGGTCTGTTGGTAATCCCCCTTATGTATGCTGGGAGGCAGTTGAACAGTCTTGGGCCCCTGACACTTACTGTATGGTCTCTTAACGTGCTAGTGACACCCCTGCTTTTCATTGGGGGGATATTGCATCGTCTGCCAAGTCTTTTGCTTTCGTAGTGAGTGATTTTCGTGTGCAAGTTCGGTACTAGTCCCTCTAGGATTTTCCAGGTGTATATAATCATGTATCTCTCCCGCCTGCGTTCCAGGGAATACAGGTTTAGGAACCTCAAGCGCTCCCAGTAATTGAGGTGTTTTATCTCCGTTATGCGCGCCGTGAAGGTTCTCTGTACATTTTATAGGTCAGCAATTTCACCTGCCTTGAAAGGTGCTGTTAGTGTGCAGCAATATTCCAGCCTAGATAGAACAAGTGACCTGAAGAGTGTCATCATGGGCTTGGCCTCCCTAGTTTTGAAGGTTCTCATTATCTATCCTGTCATTTTTCTAGCAGATGCGATTGATACAATGTTATGGTCCTTGAGGGTGAGATCCTCCGACATGATCACTCCCAGGTCTTTGACGTTGGTGTTTCGCTCTATTTTGTGGCCAGAATTTGTTTTGTACTCTGATGAAGATTTAATTTCCTCGTGTTTACCACATCTGAGTAACTGAAATTGCTCATCGTTGAACTTCATATTGTTTTCTGCAGCCCACTGAAAGATTCGGTTGATGTCCGCCTGGAGCCTTGCAGTGTCTGCAATGGAAGACACTGTCATGCAGATTCGGGTGTCATCTGCAAAGGAAGACACGGTGCTGTGGCTGACATCCTTGTCTATGTCAGATATGAGGATGAGGAACAAGATGGGAGAGAGTACTGTGCCTTGTGGAACAGAGCTTTTCACCGTAGCTGCCTCGGACTTTACTCTGTTGACTACTACTCTCTGTGTTCTGTTAGTGAGGAAATTATAGATCCATCGACCGACTTTTCCTGTTATTCTTTTAGCACGCATTATGTGCACTATTACGCCATGGTCACACTTGTCGAAGGCTTTTGCAAAGTCTGTATATATTACATCTGCATTCTTTTTGTCTTCTAGTGCACCTAGGACCTTGTCGTAGTGATCCAATAGTTGAGACAGACAGGAGCGACCTGTTCTAAACCCATGTTGCCCTGGGTTGTGTAACTGATGGGTTTCTAGATGGGTGGTGATCTTGTTTCTTAGGACCCTTTCAAAGATTTTTATGATATGGGATGTTAGTGCTATCAGTCTTTAGTTCTTTGCTGTTGCTTTACTGCCCCCTTTGTGGAGTGGGGCTATGTCTGTTGTTTTTAGTAACTGTGGGACGACCCCCGTATCCATGCTTCCTCTCCATAGGATGGTAAAGGCTCGTGAAAGGGGCTTCTTGCAGTTCTTGATGAACACGGAGTTCCATGAGTCTGGCCCTGGGGCAGAGTGCATGGGCATGTCATTTATCGCCTGTTCGAAGTCATTTGGCGTCAGGATAACATCGGATAGGCTTGTGTTAACCAAATTCTGTGGCTCTCCCATAAAAAATTCATTTTGATCTTCGACTCTCAGTCTGGTTAGCGGCTTGCTAAAAACTGAGTCATATTGGGACTTGAGTAGCTCACTCATTTCCTTGCTGTCATCTGTGTAGGACCCATCTTGTTTAAGTAAGGGCCCAATACTGGACGTTGTTCTCGACTTTGATTTGGCATAGGAGAAGAAATACTTTGGGTTTCTTTCGATTTCATTTATGGCTTTTAGTTCTTCCCGCAATTCCTGACTCCTATAAGATTCCTTTAGCTTAAGTTCGATGCTTGCTATTTCTCTGACCAGTGTCTCCCTACGCATTTCAGATATATTGACCTCTTTTAGCCGCTCTGTTATTCTTTTCCGTCGCCTGTAAAGGGAGCACCTGTCTCTTTCTATTTTACATCTACTCCTCCTTTTTCTTACAGGAATAAGTCTTGTGCATACATCGAGTGCCACCAAGTTAATCTGTTCTAGGCATAAGTTGGGGTCTGTGTTGCTTAGTATATGTTCCCAGCTTATATCGGTTAGGACTTGGTTTACTTGGTCCCACTTTATGTTTTTGTTATTGAAGTTGAATTTGGTGTATGCTCCCTCGTGACTAATCTCATTATGTCGGTCTGGGGCTCCGCGCATACATGTCTGAACCTCATTTATGTTGTGATCTGAGTATATTGTTTTTGATATGGTGACAGTTCTTATCAGATCATCATTGTTAGTGAAGATGAGGTCTTGTGTATTCTCCAGTCTAGTAGGCTCTATTATTTGCTGGTTTAAATTGAATTTTGTGCAGAGATTTAAAAGCTCGTGTGAGTTTGAGTTTTCATCAGAGCTGCCTCCTGGTGTTATTACTGCAACAATATTATTTGATATATTCCTCCATTTTAGGTGCCTTAAGTTGAAATCCCCCAGGAGCAAGATGTTGGGTGCAGGAGCTGAAATATTTTCCAGACAGTGGTCAATTTTTAACAGCTGTTCCTGGAATTGCTGGGATGTTGCATCTGGAGGCTTGTAGACTACCACAATGACTAGGTTTTGGTTCTCGACCTTTACTGCTAAAACTTCCACTACATCATTTGAGGCATTAAGCAGTTCTATGCAAACAAGTGACTCTGCAATGTACAGGCCAACCCCCCCATTTTGCCTGTTCACTCTGTCACATCTGTATAGGTTGTAACCTGGGATCCATATTTCGTTGTCCAAGTGACCCTTTATGTGGGTCTCAGTGAAAGCCGCGAACATTGCCTTTGCCTCTGCAAGCAGTCCACGGATGAAAGGTATTTTGTTGTTTGTTGCTGGCTTTAGACCCTGTATATTTGCAAAGAAGAATGTCATCAGACTGGTGGTATTTTTGGTACTGGGGGGGGGGGGGATTTTTTTTCCGGCATTAGTATCTGTATCTGTTGGTTTGGAGTGGAGGCCATCGACTGTGGTTCCACTCCAGGAATGACTTTGATTTGGTGTACGATTTCTGCCATTTCCTGCCAGTTTTTTTTCCTTCCTGGCACTAAAAAACCTCTCCCTCTTGAGTGGCTGTGGCTACCCAGGTTTTCCCATGGCCTGGATGTTTTGTATCTTTTTGTCCCCTTTAGATGGTGTGCCTGGCAATTTAAGTTATAGCACAGTCTTTCCTGTACTGAAGAGGTACACATTTCAGGGTGAAAAAGCTTACAGGAAGGGAGTTTGCATTTTCCTGTTGTCATATGAGCATGGCATTTTCTAGGGTGGTCATAGTTGCACGTCCCGTCTGTTTTTCCAGATTTCCCATGCCCCCAACTTGCACACGAAAATCACTCACTACGACAGCAAAAGACTCGGCAGACGATGCAACATCCCCCCAATGAAAAGCAGGAGTGTCACTAGCACGTTAAGAGACAATAAGTGTCAGGGGCTCGAGACTGTTCAACTGCCTCCTAGCATACATAAGGGGGATTACCAATAGACCCCTGACTGTCTTCAAGCAGGCACTGGACAAGCACCTAAAGTCGGTACCTGACTAGCCAGACTGTGGCTCGTACGTTGGACTGCGTGCAGCCAGCAGTAACAGCCTGGTTGATCAGGCTCTGATCCACCATGAGGCCTGGTCACAGACCGGGCAGCGGGGGCGTTGACTCCCGGAACTCTCTCCAGGTAAACTCCAGGTAGTTATGAAAATAAAAACTCATGCTCAGAGTTCCTAAAGTTGCTATGAAGCTTAATTTCTATAACCTTATTTTTCTCAGTTATTTTTCCCGTAAGGATCTTTTGTTCTGGTGTTTACTAGCTAAAATTTTTTATTTTGCTTCATTTAAAATTGCATGGGGCACTTTAGGCTGTTACAGTTTTGCTAGTTTCTGCTAGTGGCGTCAACGTAATTTTAAATAAACAACAATGAATTAATAATTAATTTAACTCGCTATTTTTCAAATCATTAATGAGATAAACGCTTTGGAAATGGGCCGCACGTGGATTTCTGAATTTACCTTAAAGTCTACCTGCAGATCCTAAATGAGAAAGCTATTTCCTTCATTTGAGTGTATCTTTTTCTTTAAAAAACATGACTGCATCAAGATCAATAACATTTTAATTTATGTTATAGTAATTAAATTTTGTGTCGTAGTAACACTTAGATTTTGGGTTGTCCGTAACATGGCTTGTGTTTTGCAGGAAGAATGACGCTGTTGTGTGCAGGAGATAACGGAAACAGCAAGGCCGTCTTGAAGTGTCCTCTAGTCACCGCCAATGATTCCGAGTGTCCGCCCGTCAAGGCTAATTCCTTCACCAATGACAACAGTCAAGATGACGGCTGTCAGAATAGCGAGAGCAGCAAAGACATACGAAGACTTGCTTCTAGGAGGGCGAACAGTGAGTTGCTAGTGTCACCACGCATGAAAGAGCTTCTTGAAGGACTTGAAGTGCCTGGCGACTCAGGTAACCTTCCCGAAGAACCGCAGTGGCTGGACCGAAAGTTATTCAACCGGGGTCGACAGTTCTACCGGCGTTATCTTTTCTGCATATTTTTCTCTGATTTGTTGGCTCTGCTGATGATGTTCAGCATGAGCCGTATACTAAAGCCGTTGATCTACACAGAGCGGTCCGACACCATTTTGCGTGCTCTACGCCGCTACGTCTCTACCATCTTACACATCATAACTTGGTACTCAGGTGACGTCTGGGACCCAAATGACCGCGCCCATAAAGATATCATGACGGTGCGCTCCATTCACAGCAATTCCGCTCGCATTTTTAATTCTTCTACTCACTATGAAAAAGTCACAGCTATTGATGTTAAAAACATGGGTCACCACGAGCCCATGTGCCCCCTCAACCCTACTATCCGGGAAGACATAGAGCCTCAGGTAGGGCCTGCCTTGCCTCTTGAAAATCCTAACAACCCAATAGTGTACATCAGTCAGTGGGACATGCTGCTCACCCAGTACTCATTCTTGGGCGTAATGGTAGCACACCCCTCCAAGATGGGCGCCTGGTGGGCTTCAGAGGAAGACCTAGCAGGACTTATCCATTTCTGGAGAGGGATTGGATTCCTCTTGGGAATCGAAGACAAGTACAACTTTTGCAGAGGTACGGTAAAGGAAACTCAGGCGCTGTGCGATGAAATAGAGGAACTGATTATCAAACCCAGGATAGCCAAGGCTGATTGGAATTACGAGCACATGTCCTCCTGTCTCATCGAAGGCATCAATCTCATGGTGCCAGCCGTCTCCTACCCGGCCATGTTTCGTTTCCTGGCCGACACTCTGAACATAGCCGTGCCAGCCTTCGTTAAGCGCATGAGCATTCTCCACACCTGTCAGTACTGGCTCATGCGCTTCGTATTCCACTTCCTGTTCCTTGTACCAGGCATAGTTATGCTTTTCAACGGACTACTCAAGCTTGCTCTCATCATCGCACAGGGCCAATACCCGGCACGATTGTCTAAGACACAGAACACAGTCACTTCCTACACTTATACCTGAGGAGCTACGAGTGTTGTTATTCGTTGCTTTGTGTGGCACTAGAGAAACCTGTTTGCTGTGCCACGAAACTGGTGTCGGACCTCAGGTTTTCCCCTGCACGACTGTGGAGAACTCTGTGAGGGGTTGTATGACAAAAACAGCCCATTCGGCGGATAATGACATCATCTGTGGTCGTGTAGAGGCATTGAACCAATCGACTCAGTATATCATATAATTCTCTAACGTGAATATAAAATATCCTGACCTCTACGCATGATTATTATTATTCTTGCGAAGTGGTACATCTGCGCAAGAATGCGAGAATGACTGGCTACTTAATTGATTTTTAAAAAGAATGCCCATAGGCTGCGAACTTGAGGATATATATAATGAATATTATTTCTCGAAATGTTATTATTTTATCTACATTTTGGTTAATATTACCACTAATTTTGAAATAATTTGCAATTAGTTGTTAAGGAGTGGTGGTAGTTTCATGTAAAATTAGTCCTGTCTTATTTTAAAGTAGAATTTACGATATTAGCTTATAAACTAGCTAGTATTTTGTCAGATAAGAAGTTTTTAATTCAGTGATGCAAAAGTAAACAAAAATCTGCATGAATCTCGGGAAATAAAGATGTTTCGGTTAAATAATATACATATGGGGTGGTAGGGGAAGTGGAATATTTAAATGGCTTCAGGAAGAAATCCAAATACTCTTCCTTGAAGCCTTTTTATCCACTTCTCCGAGGCTATGGGTCCCACTGTAT